ATTTGGTCTGGGCCCGAGGTGGGCTTAATAGCCGGCGACTACTGTACCAGGATGGGGCAAAAGTTATACAGCACTTGCGATGAACGTTACTTTTATATGCGTTTGTCCATATCTACACCTTCTATGAAGCCTTTTTTGTGCTCCAAACCCAACTTTATCCCAATATTCCAGATGTCTGTGAATAAAAATGGGCTTCGAATCTCGATTCGCTATTGCTGGAAACGAGAACATTCGATTATGGAGGCCACAAAAGACATTTATGATGCCGAAGATGATGGGGCCGTCCATGACACAACTGTTTTCTCACTGATAAAAATGTCTTAACTCTGATGACATCAGTTTGGAAGAATCTGGTCGAACATGAGAATTGGACAATGAGGACTTGCTTTCCACTCTTGAAGATTAACCCTTATCGAGCAGTCGTGGGTCGGGGTCAGTAATAAGAATCGATCAAAAGACGATCTCGAAACATTTGTATCTACTTGGCTTTGCCTATAAGAAGCCTCATCAAAACCCACATGAGCTGACCGAAGCGCAAGCCAATCAACGCGTTGAAATGTGCCGCTAGTTGTTGAAAAGCCCTCTTAACAATCGACTCTGGAAGCGCACTAGGACGTCTAATGAGAAATGCGTTTATCTGGTCAATTACGACGGACAAAATAAATAGGTTCTAAGAGGTCAGGCTGCTTCACCTGTCCCAGGTCAGAATCGTTTGAGTACAAAAATGAGGATGTATTTGGCGAAAGTCCAAAGGTGTGCTTCACTTTGAATTTGTTTCGAATGGTCGTGCCGTCAACTACGATTTCTACTGCCAACAACAGCGTCGAGTCTGCGACAAGCTTTAAGATAAGTACCCGCTATTGGTTAATCGAAAAGGGACTCTGTTGCACCAGAAAAATGCCAAGTCTCACACTGCAAGAAAATACACAGAACTAGTGCAAACAATTGGGTGGGATCGAGGTTTTTTACATCAGGCGTACACTCCCGATAGCATGCTATCTAAATATTACCTCTTCCGATCAATGCAGCAGTTCTTGCGAGGTCGTCGATTCGAGTCATTCGAGGAAATTGAAGAAGCATGTAAAGAAATCTTCCATTATAAGTAAACATGCGAGTCCCAGGAAGTAATTGATAAGAAATAGATGTGATCGCTGGAACAATAATTTTTATTCACCTGACGTTTCCACATCCGTCGCGGATCCTTCATCAAAGACATTAGCAGAACAGTAGCAGAAACGGGTAATTTATGCCCGGGGAGTTGCAGTATTTATAGGATACAGTCACTATGATACTGTACACTTATGACAACTAACGACTCCCCTATCAAGAATAATTGCCAAACTATGCGCTAATTGCTTGATGGCCGGCGTGCGGGCTGTTACTTGCCGAACTTTCATCACACGTGGTGGAATTGGACGTGATGATTGCTCGGCCATCTGACTCCCCGGCGCTGGCGTTAGACAAGGCGATGGCCTGTGCAGTTCCGAAGTTGTGACTTGCCTTGGCCAAATGGAGTCTCAGCACCGAATATTGATATGACAGGTCGTTGCACTTGTTTACAGACTGCCTAATCCATATTCAGTACTAGGACTCAGTTTGGCCGACGTGATTAAGTATAGGCTAGCATATAAACGCAGTACAAAATGCTATGGAGGTTCTAAACTTATTAA